CGCACAGGCTCTCAGCCCGCCTGTCGGCGTGAGGTGCCGCCACGAGCGTGCTTCGTGGCAGCAGGAGGCTTCACGCGCGCACGGCTGTGGCTCCCCCCCCCGCCTGCCGCTCAGGCGCCCCCTGGTCTTTGTTCTTACCGACGGCTGTGCCAGCCACATCCCCACACGCCGCGGCCTGCAGGTCCAGGCCAGCCCCGAGTCCGGTTTCTGCGTCCGCGGAGGTCCTCGAAGGCGGAGGGCCGGGCCCGGCGCTCGCTCGGGCGTGCTGCGGGCGGGCAGCGCCCTGTCCGTCGCGCCCTCGGTGCTTTGAAAGCTTTTCATTCACGCGTGGGCGCTTTGCTTTGTTTCCACAGGATGTGGTTTCCCACAGTAAGAAACTTACCAAAAAAAACAAAGAGCAGCTGTCTGACATGATGACACTGAACAAGCAGAAGGGGGGGCTCAAGGCGCTGAGCAAGGAGAAGCGGGAGAAGCTGGAGGCCTACCAGCACCTGTTCTACCTGCTGCAGGTGGGCGGCGGGGCGGCGCCCCGCGAGGGCGCTCCCGTGTCGCCGCGGGGCTCTGGCGCCCGGGGGGAGCGGAGGGCTGCCGCCCCCAGCCCTTCCAGCGGAGACGCACGTGAGTGTCGTCGCGGCCTGCGCCCGCGTGGAAGGCGCTCACGCCCCGGTGTCGTTGCAGACCAATCCCACCTACCTGGCCAAGCTGATTTTCCAGATGCCGCAAAACAAGTCCACCAAGTTCATGGACTCCGTGATCTTCACGCTCTACAACTACGCGTCTAACCAGCGCGAGGAGTACCTGTTGCTCCGGCTCTTCCAGACGGCGCTGCAGGAGGAGATCAAGTAGGCACCGGCGGCCGGGCCCGGGCCAGGAGGGGCAGGGAAGGCCGGCCGGGCGGCTGTGACGGCCGCCCGAGAGGACACTGTGGAGCCGCCCGGCCGGTCGCAAAGAGGCCGCGCTTTTATCTGCCGCAGAAGCTGGTCCCGGCCCGGAGGGGCCCCGCGCCCGGCCAGCGCCTGCCTCTCGGAGGGGCCAGCGCCTGCCTCGCCTAAGCGGGGCTCCTGGCTCAGGAGAATTTGCACCCGCTGTCTCGTAGGTCAAAAGTGGATCAGATTCAAGAGATTGTGACGGGAAATCCCACGGTGATTAAGATGGTGGTGAGCTTCAACCGCGGAGCCCGCGGCCAGAACGCGCTGCGGCAGATCCTGGCCCCGGTGGTCAAGGAGATCATGGACGACAAGTCTCTCAACATCAAGACCGACCCTGTGGACATCTACAAGTCTTGGGTCAACCAGATGGAGTCGCAGACGGGGGAGGCGAGGTGAGCCCGTCTTCCGCCCTGCGTCTGGCATCTTCTTCCTCCCTTTTTGTGAGTTACTTGACGAACAAACCGGAAACCGCTCGGTAGTTTCCAGCTGCCTCTTCGAATCGCCGGCGGGGCAGCGTGTTCACCGCGAGTGGCTGCCGGGCCCTGCGGGTGCTGGGCTGTGCCCGCGGTCACGTGCGGG